AAAAAAAAAAAAAAAAAAAAAAAAAAAAAAAAAAAAAAAAAAAAAAAAAAAAAAAAAAAAAAAAAAAAAAGATAAAAAAAAAAAAAAAAAAAAAAAAAAATTATATTCTAGTAAATGTGGATGAATGTGTTTTACATTGTGAATAAGAAAATTCAAAATTCATAAATATTTGAATATACTCGTTTGGTTATGCGAATTTAGCTTGCATTTGCAAGCATGTAATAATTCATTTTTTCATCGCCTTATGTTTTTATTTTTTTCGTTTTTTATTTTTGGTTTGTATATATATATTTTTTTTTAATTCATTTTTTTTCTAATTCATCTTTTATTTATTTTAGTTCTTTATATATTTTTTTTTCAGCATAAAGCAGTAAATACTTTTTATTAAATCAGTAAATAATAAACGAATACCGATTTTAAAAAGGCATATGTCATTTTAATTTATGACACACGTCTATAATAATTGACATAAATTGAAAAATGTCGCGGAATATAATCTTTAATTTAATCAGTAAAAAAAACAAGTATTTAGTTATAGCAATTATTCCCGGAGGTCTGGGAAATAACTGCATAGCTAAATACTCGCATTTTTTTTATTAATTAAAGTAGTGATTCCAAGTCATAACACTCCGTAATGACATCCTATAAAATAATACTTTATTATTTTTATTTGTAATTAAATGGGCAATAACTACAAATACCAAGACTTATCAAGACAATCTCGGTGAGTATTAATTTCTTTTTTCTTTACTTAGGTTCCACAAGAGATGAATACTGTATTTGGTTATTTTTTATACAGGTTTAAAATTCTAATAGTTTTTCTTCATCATTTCCCGCTGCCATCGATAGTTCTAAGATTCTAATGGGTGAGTTTTTTCTTAGCCCTTTTTTGGACCTTGCCGCCTTATTAATAATTATTTTTACCTCCAACTCGTTACTTCAACCGCCATTCTGAAATCTGGTTTTTCTATCGTGGGTTATTCTCGATTTGGTCATATACTTTGGTCTTTCGATTTTCTGGGGTTTGAATTCAATCACGGTTGCACAGGAATGTTTGTCAATGTATTATGCGAGGTCACGATTAATTTTACCTGGACCTAATTAGTCAATATACAATTTACATAATATGTAAGTAAGTAGTGCGAGTTAAAAGATCATAACACTGGATTTGTTTCAAAATTAAGTAAATATGAGTCAAATTTAGTAAATATGAGTCAAATTTAGTAAATATGAGTCAAAGTTTAATTAAATATTATTTTTATTTGCAAGAAAATTACAAAGAAAAGAATTTATTTAATCATTGTAAATAATAAATTTTATTAACCTAAGTTGAAATATCTCAAAAAAAAATAAGGTATATTCAAATACATATGAGGTATTTTAAATATATTTCGATTTTTAAATAAAAAACATAATTTGAATTCAATATCTAGTTTGGAATATATATTTTGCTATTATTTAAAGTCATTCCTCCTCTTTATATTGTGCTTTTACAGACTTACTAAATCAATTATCCTATCAACTCGTAAAATATCTTAAAGTTTCTTTAACCTCTGTAATAAAAAAAAGATTTTGAATTTTGCCATACTTAATATTTAATTTAAAAACTTCTAAAGCATAATAAAATACGTATAAAAAAAAACTTTTACGATGAACATATGAAAATGGGTTTCTTATTATTTTGCAGATTTTAAAGGTGAAATAAGAATTATATAGAATGATCCACCCTGTTTTGACGATTTTCAGAAATCTTCATGTATTATTACAAATCACATTTATTATCAGTAAATAAAGTTAGGTTTTTGACGCATGTACAGTACGTGCCTGATATTGGTATAAACCGTATTAATTAGCAAAATTTTCATTCATTTAGGAAACTTACAATTATAATGTACCTTATAATTCACAATTGAAAATCATGATTAATTAATTGTGCATCGACGACCAATATCTGGAGGACTGCCAAAACAAGCCGTGAAGTCGTCATCTTCGGAGTATTGAAATCCATTTCTCAAATCAATAGGTGTGCTACAAAAATAAGATATCAGGATTTTATTAAACATTCACATATAGACGTAAATGGATTTATACTAGAGATAACAACAAGACTAGTTGTAACTAGTGATACATGACGAAACATAATAGTTTCGTCAGTAACGAAACTATGGCGAAACTTATGGTTTCGTCAGGCGAAATAGTTTCGTCAAGCATCTATTGCTATAACCAGATCATTTTAGATATAGTTTAAAATACAAACTATAGTTAACAACAAAACCGTTAGATTGCAGCATTAATATGTATTGTAGCAATTCATAATGTGTAATATCAACAACTAAATATTGCAATCTAAATACTGTTTTTAACCAAGTAACAAGCTTGCATTTGGATCATATTTCTAAATTGTACATAAAAACGCACCTTTCAATATCAAGACAATCTAAAATATAATAGAGCTTCCAAGCTTCAATGGTAAAACTATATAGTCTTAGATAACGAGTGCTATTACTTTCTTCATCAACTTTAACTTCCTGTTTAAGACACATGCTACTTTTATGATCAAATTGACCATTTATAAATGTCATCATTTATAAATTCAGGGGAAAAAAGGCCGTTGAATTCAGCCCAAATCTTAGTCGAAGAAAATGCATAATCCTTTTTTACCAATGCTATAAGTTTAATAGCATATTCATCAGGTTTTTCTTTATTAAAACATAATATATCGAATATATTGATGTCTTCAGTTTGATCGAATATAAACGTAAAAGTCTTAGTAGAATCGCAATATGTTGGTAATAAATTTTCAGATATCACTGTTTCATATGAGCAGTCTGTTAACTGAATTAATGAGCAATTATATTAATTATCAATTATACACCATATACGTATTAAGAATTTATCTTTATAAAATTAATTTACCTCAAAATTTAAGCCAGATTTTAACTTAGAAACAACAACTTGATGCATTACCAATGGAATGAATGCATTCCACTTTTTGCAAACAGTTCTCAGAGTGCAAAATTTCTCAAAGCTATTATTTAAAAAGATTATTATAAATAAATTATAAATAAATTTTGACTGATTTAATATACAGTATAAACTTACTTTGCTTCGGTAATAACATAGGTTAATATTTGAATATGCAACTCATTAGGAAGAAGCTGAATCATTTTAAATTTATAAAAAGACGGTTAGACTTTTCTTTTTAAATAAAATAGCTTCATAGTTATCAAAAAAAAACAATTATAATTGCTGATCATTTCCATTGTTGAAATTCCCCCACAAACTTAAATGGTTCCAAAGAACGCCTAATTTCTAAATTTGCTAAATAGATTCATCAATGATCCTATTGTAGGTGATAAAAAAAGTCAATATAAATGTTACCAAACCATACGTGCTGTCGCTCAATTCCCCGAAAGATATTTATCCGCTAACTCAATTCCCCCGACACCGTAACACCGACATGATATTTCATCTACAGCACATTTTTTCGATAAGTCATAAGTCAGACGAAGGTATTTTGGTGGAGTTGAAATTTTTCAAATTCATGATATTAAAACTATATTAAAACTATATTAAAAAATATTAAACTCCAAATTTTATTGTAACATAAGATAATCCTTTATCTAATTAATTCTAAAATAAGGTAGCTGTGTGACGTCATCGCGCAAAACCAGGAACGAGAAAGTATCTAGATATTAAGTAGGTTAAATTTAGGTTAGAATTATAATTAGTCAAACTTGTTAGTAATAAAAAATGCTTAATATTGCTCAATATTTATTATTATTGTACTGTATTAAATATGCAGGCTGTGATTACAAAGTTTTTATTAATAGAAAAGTTGCATACAGTAACAAACATTTTGTATGTAAAATCATAGGATAGATTAATCTGATTCTGCGATTTTTGCTTGCAGTTGAATTTTCGGTTAACATTACTTTTAGAACTCTTGGGGTAAATTGAAACAAACATATTAAAATGAACCAATTTCATTGGATCAAGTGACTGGTGAAAGTTATCCAGCATTTTGATCGGCTGTTCATTTTTTGGTCATATTAAATTTAGGTCATGAACACAATTACAATTTGACAAAATTCCGGTCTTGCAGTCTGTCTTAGGACTGGGTCAGTGTAGGACAGACCAAAATATCATCGGTCCTAATATAGAGTAAAATTATTGTAACGTATATCTAGCCTGATTTTGTTGCGTTTAGATTCTGAGCACCATAATAATAATATACAGTACAAGTATAAGTAGGGCAACATACAACATTTGGGTTCAAATATAATCAATATTTTGTATATAAATTTCATAAAATCAAGTTATAAGAATTATAAATCAGAAATTATAAAAGCTTCATAGATAACTACAAATATTTTTATTATAAATGATATTGACAAATCGCATATATAAAAGATTGTTTATCGACCAATAAAACTAATAATATGTACATATAATGTTTTTCGAATAATTGATTAACAAATCATTTTATACTTTCCGGTTAAATTAATAACCTAAATAAGTGACTTAATATTAATGAGAAATGGTGAGAATTTATAATTTTACCGTATATATATAAGAAATGATAATTTTAAATATAACCCACTATTATGATCATCACCGGCTAAATCAATTAAATAAGAAACCAAATCAAAAGTGAATACGAGAATAAGAAACCAAATCAAAAGTGAATACGAGAATAAGAGATCTACGGCTTATTTCCCTATAGTTGAAACTAAGGGCATTATTCTTCATTTTGTGACGGCGGAATATATACTGTAATTTGTAGTAGTGATTTCTTTTTTTTTTTTTAATCTACAAAAAACATGATAAGTATGGTTTAGATGATCTGATTAGTATGATATAGTTTTTAAAATATGTTTATTTAACTTCCGGATTTCTAAAATACTTGTACTATTCCGTACGATCTACTGTGCGAATTTGTTCCGTGATAAAACCAGGAGGATAATCATATTTACTCTCATAGCCATGAAACTCATTTTTATTGAAATAAATTGGTACTGTAATTCGAAACAAATTAAGAATGTAAATTGTACCTTATTTTTATTTGAAGAAATGGTAAAATCGTACGGGCACTCGTGATGGATGGTAATCTATTATAAGAATATACGAGGTTAATTTTAGGGCTTAGACAATGATAATAAATTTAAAAATTTTAAATCGGGTTTTTTCTTATTTAATCTATTTATGTTTTTTTTTAATGCTATCTAATGTTTTAATTAAAATGATTGTCTAAATATACTTACAGTACAGGATTCATTAAAATATGCTTACAATGATTCTCAAAATTTGTGCGCATGCCATCACTAGTTCTAATAACAATAGACAGGTTTAAGTATTTGTTTAAATGTAGCATTTATGTAATAAACGAGTAATAAACTAATAATTTGGAGTATATAAGCATAGCGGGCTTTAAATCTGATTGGATGATCGCCCAGAATGTTTTACAATATGTTTTACATATTAGTGTAACGT